TTCACTCCCTTGTTATCTCTCGCCTTGACTATTGCAACTCCCTCCTCATTGGCCTACCTAATCGCAGGCTATCCCTTCTTCAGTCTATCAGGAATGCTGCTGCCAGACTCATCCACCTTACCAACTGTTCCATGTCTGCCATCTCTCTCTGCCAATCCCTCCACTGGCTTTCCATTGCCCAACAAATAAAATTCAAAACATTAGCAATAACATATAAAACCATTTACAATTCTGCTGCAAATTACATCACCAATCTTGTCTCCAAATATCATCCACACCATCCTCTCCGATCTTCCCAAGACCTCCTGTTCTCTAGCTCCCTTGTCTCCTGCTCTAATGCTTGTCTCCAGGACTTCTCCAGAGCCTCCCCCATCCTTTGAAACTCTCTACCTTAATCAGTCCGACTATCGCCTACTCTGTCCACTTTTAGACAATCTCTGAAAACATATCTCTTCAGGGAACCCCATCCTGCCTTCAGCTAATAAGCGAATCTTCTATTTCTCCCATTAGTTCATCCCCTACAGTTATTACCTTATGTTCCACCAGCCTTTCCCTATTAGATTGTAAGCTCCCTGGAGCAGGGCCTTCCTAACTCTCTTATATTGAACTGTACCATTAGTGTATTGTCTCCCTTTATATTGAAAAGGGCCCTGAGCAAACTGTTGGCTCTATATAAATCATGTATTACAATAATAATAAAGAAGAGAGAGGACACAGGACACTTTGAGAGGGCTGCATTTTTAGCGACAGTTGATGGGAGAGACCCTGCCCACTGCCCCGGGGTACAGATGATACTGATTGGCTGCTGTGCAGCCTGGAAGGAAGAGGATTAATGATAACTGTCTGGAATTATTGAGGATGTAGCCTACAGGAGGCAGTTAGCTATCAAGCTAGGGACTGGATGGCACTACAAGTCCAAGGAGGACAGAGAGGTGCAAGAGAAGAATAAATGGAAGAGAAGACCTTAATCGGGGCAGTCTCACATGGGCTCTGAGAGGTAACTAGCCTAGGCTGCCACATCTGTGTGGAGCCACATCTGTGTGGAGGCACAGCTGCCGGAGAGACGCCAGTGAACTGAATGAAAGGGGCATTGCTTGTTCTGTGAGAGATCACCATTTTTCCTGATTTAAGGTCAATGCCACCAGTTCCTGACACTAGAGTGTGGGAGGCTTAATTACAGACTGCATGGTGGTGAGAAGCTATGGGCCACAACTTTGTTATCCAGTTTATAGACTGCGTGATGGTAAGAGGCTGTGGGCTACAACTTCCTTGTCAATGAAAAAAGTACAGCATGCTGCATTTTTCGTATGTAAATGTATAAGAATGCACGTGAACGCACATGAACACACTGCAAATGCATGTAAAGGAAAATTCGTAAATAAAGCACACTGCAAATACACCGCAAACACATACAGTACATGCAGAACTGCATGCTTACTGCAAGGATTATATAGATGAGCCCTTACATGCATTTGTAATGCATTTGCCCTGCATTACCTCTCATACACTGTGCGTTTGTGGGCCATTTTTAAATTTTTTTAGGCTTTTTTTTTTACCGAGCTGCATTTACATGCATTTTGGGGTGCGTTCATGTGTTTTCAAGTAGGTTTACATGCAAAACAACTCCGCATGCTATTCTTTTTTTAAACACTCACAAAATCACTGCAATAGTGTACACTAGTCTTGTTGAAATCCATTCATTTTTCTTGCATATTTGTTCATATTGCATTTAAAAATGTGTTTGACAGCATCTTGTGTAAATGAGCTATAAAAACAAATGATTAAAAACATACAGGCATAAAAATAAAACCTAGGTGATCTTGTTTTGTAATAAAATGTAAAAAAAAATGCCATAAATTTAAAGTCAAAGTGACAAAAGTTAACGACAAAAGGATTTTCTTATACACAGCACTAATTTTATATCCAATGTACATAGTGACCTGAGTGGCCCTATCACCTGATGTTTTTCACACTGAAGAGAAAGCAGCTGTCAACGCATTTATGGGAAATGAAACATTTCTTAACAGTCAAGATAAACCACAATAAATACAACACAGATTACGGGCAGTAAATTCCGTGCTTTAGCTTCTTTTGAAACAGGGATGATGCAGACTAAGACCATGGTTAACTTCCTGCATATGAAGTTCTTCAAGTAGAATCCAGTGACATAGTTCTGAAAGACGGGCACATTATTGCTGCACAGCCATGTCTTGGTGGGGTGTGCCATTATTCTATTTACTGGAAATGTTCAGCTTCTTTTATTTTGTGGCTGGAACAGAAGAGGTGTGAGCCATACTTCTTTACCTTTGTGGTCACCTGATCGGTGCCTTTGGTGTGAAGCTTTATTATCTCTCACGTGCCACTTGAGAACAGACAGACTGAACATCTGTGACCCTTCATTATCTTTGTGACTTCTAATTTTTCTTCTGTGTTTGTTTGACTCCCATTGCCAGTTTTAACCCACCTTAGGGCCAATTTACTTGTCTGTAATGCATGAATTGCATTTATGTGTGTCGTGTTAAGGTAGCCTATTCACAATTAACGGCTGCCAATGCACTAAAATCACACATACAACACCACGCAATATATGTTTACCACTGCTCAAGGTAGAGATACTCCCAATGTCCAAACTCCTCCTGTAGATGCTAGCCCAGCTTGTGTGCTGCATAGATAAGAACAAAGGATGTCCAATCGGCTGCACTCCAAACAATCTACTTTATTGAACAAAGATAAAACCAATACAGACATTGGAAATACAGTGGGGGACTGGCAGGTAAACGTGTTTCACGCTAAAGACAGCGCTTATTCATTACTCACAATGCATACCAATACGCTACTGTGCATTGCAATACGCTACAATGCAGGTGCATTGCTATAAGTCTCATCCACACAGCCTTTTTTGTCCAGACTGCAGATCCCTGCGGTAAGAATTAGCAGATTCTTGATGCTGGAATCATAGGTGGTTCCAGACAACTGTGGCCACTCAAGTCTGTACAATGTAAACACAGGCTTATAGACCCACGGCTGTCCACCGCTATTTACATGTATCCACATATCCAGCCATTCAGCTACTAACAAAATCTGTCCGCAGTCAGGGCTGATCATCGGTCTCACTGCAGGTAACCACTGGATAGGTGGATACATGGAGAGAACAGTGGACAGCTGCTCCAGAACCATCTTTGATTTCAACCACAGGAATCCGGTGATTCTTGTTGCAGTATCCTGCACTCCAGAAAGAAAAGCCAGTGGGCAAGGCTTTAGTGCGTTGGGGTGCCATTTAAAATAAATGGCACTACAATGCATACTACATACCGTACCTTACTGCACGTTATTGTACTGTGCATGGGAATGCACGTGTAGCACTACTCCCGTAGGAGCCGCAAGAATATTGTCCAGATCCTCTCCAGTTACTTTGTCCACAGTTAGGTACATAGGCTCATTCACATGTTTCGCCAATAACCAGTCTAGGGGTGTTATTTTTGTTGTTTTTATTTTTTGCAGAACTTGGATAGGGATGAGGGAGATGAGTGGGATACTCCAGAAACAGGAACTGTACCTTGAGCGCTTTATCTAATCTCCAGGGCAAGCTATGTCAGAGTCTGTGGTTGAATCAAACAGTGGACTTCAGCTTTAAGGCAGTGGTAAAAAGTAGTAGTAGTAGTAGTAACTTTAGAGCCCAGAATAATGTTCCTTTAAAAGTAATCCAGGTGGACAAAGCTCGCTGTTCCCTTTGCTAGACCCACAGCTGACTTCCTAGCACCACAGGGGGGTTAAACAGCACACAGTCTCTAAGATCCTTTATTGTTGTCTGTACTCAACAGGCCCAAGAGTAGATGGATACCTTCCTCTATGATACCAGACCAGATCAGAGACAGTCCCTGGTCTCAGCATTCAGGCCCTCAGGTCATCCACCTTTGGCCGTATGGCAGCAGTTGCCTGGAAGGGCAACATACCCTCTCCCAGGCTGGAGAAATACTATACAGGAAAGAACCCAAAGCCACGTGTGCTCACTGAAAATAGGAATAGGCTGAGGCTGTATCAATATTCATGCTGCCATCTGCATAACTCCCCACCTATCATCCAGAAACTTCTCCTGTTTATGGACACAGAGGAAGCTATATGCAGACTAGCAGCAGCTAGCACACACCAACACAGTAGTCTGAACTGAATCCATTAGATATAAGATGAATTGCACTCTTGTGTTGATACTGTGTTGTGTAACATTGTCCAATGCAGCCCACCAATGCTGGTGTGAACAAGACCTAAAGCTGGGTATACAGCGGGTTGAACAACAGTGACACATTGTTTGTGTGGATAAGGGAATCTTCCCTGCTACTCTGTTGTATTCCGACAGCTGGTACTCCCCCTGTCAGAATACACTAATCAGTGCTGCAGCCATTGCAAACACTGATTGAATGCTGGTTTTCCAGTGGGATCCTTCAACCCTTCAGTTGTTAGACCGGCTTCTGTTGAACAGTACCAAAATTTGGCCAGTTCCTGCTGAACCTTCCGAACTTCGATATGTGTATCCCCAGCTTTACAGCTTGCCTTCACAAAGGCACTTTCTGCTCTGTCTCTCAGAGTACAGATACAAAGAGATGTGTTGTTCTCTATGCAGTAATGTATCTGCTGTCCACTCTGTGCCATCGTTAGGCCTGGTTCACACTACTGCAACTGCAAATTTGTAATGCAATGCGTTTTTTACGTGTTTTTGATTCAATTTTCATATTACTCTTATTTCTAGAGGAGAATAGGAATTGCATAAAAACACATGTAGATGCAATTTTTATGTGTTTTTTATGCATTTCAATTGAAGTCTATAGGCCACGGAATCATACTGCATCACACCAAGGTAGAACAAGACCCTTCCCCAAAGTCACATCACAGTTGCATTGTATGTGAATGTGATTGATTTCCATTGTCATGCGATTCTGTGTGACCCAAGTCGCATCTGAAATTGCACCAGTGGGAACCAGGCCTAAATACATGAGATGACTAACTTTATATTAAAGTATTACTAAACCCAGGATCCTGCATTCACTATATCTGGTCTCCCACAGTACACACAACATGGAAATGCAATTATTTTAGTAAATATAAACTGCTAAATACCTTTTAACATCAGCAGTTAGAGCAGTCTTGTGATTTATATCAGTGTTCAGCAGAGAGCACATGTTAAGGCTTGTAGGAGGAGTTTTCATTCTGCTCTAGGAGGATGCAGAACCCCTGACTTCTGTTTGGACAGTGCTGATTGGCCTTGTGCTGATCACAAGCATTCTCCCAAGAAAAAAATAACTGTATAGCAATACACAACAAACTGAGCATGTGCAGAGTATCTCCACACATATGTTTTATCAGAAGATAGATTGTAAGCTCTAACGAGCAGGGCCCCCTGTTTCCTCTTGTTCCAAACTGTATTGTAACTGTAAATCTACCTTCATTTTGTAAAGATCTGCGTAAACTGTTGGCGCTATATAAATCCTGTATACTAATAATAATAATAAGAGGGGGACATTGGAAGAAGGGAAGGATCAGAGAAGTCAGGAAAAAACAGCCTTTTTACACAATGCAGACGATTAACCCCTTAGGTTCCACAGTGAGTATAACAAGCATGCTTTACTGCATATACAGACTGATTTTATTGCTGTGGGTTAGTAACACTTTAAATAAAAATATCATGGTATGGAGGACTAAAGCTGGCCATATACTAGTAGATTTCCGAATGAACTTTGTTTGAGCATTTGTACAATAGTTCTCAGTACATTCGATGATGTGAGGAATATTGTTTGAAAGTACTTCCAATACTGTTTGCTCTTAACATTTGTGGTTTTGGAAAACCGCATACACTGTTAAAAATGTAAAAAATGTTCTTCCCACCACAGGTAAAAATGATTCAACACGTCGATTTGACCCTACTAACCAATACAAAATCAAACAAACATTTTTAAATCAAAAAAATTTGAACTTTATGACCAGCTTTACTCATAAGATCTGGTAACAAAAACTGTAGCTGCTGACTTCACCCGCCATCCTGTGTCCCCAGCGCTGGCATCTTAAATGTGAGCACCCAGCGCAAGTAGCACTACACCTTGTGATTGGTGCTGTAGTCTTCTGGGACCAATCACGTGTCCCAGAAGACTACGGGGGGGGCAACCTCCACAGCAGAAGTGGGAGCGGGTAACTATCAAAATTGGGGACCCGCTCCCCAAAGGTGCCGATACTTAACGTGGAGAGGGAGATGAGGCCTTAAAGCAGAACTTCCCCTTTTGGGTGGAACTGCTTTAACCGCTCTAGCGCCACCCCATAGCAAAAATACTGCTAAAGGGTGGCAGCAGTGCGCAAAATCACTTATTTATATGTGATTTCGCATTTCTGGGTAGGGGGCGCGTGCCCTACCCGTCCCACCATTCGCGTCTGCGGCTGTCAATCATCGGGTCCCGCCCGATGATTACTCACCAGCGCCCAATGATTGGCGAGGATCTCCGACGGGGGGATAACTGTTAGTAAACAAAACAGTTCTCCCCCGTCAGCTCCTGCACACCGCTCCCGCACAGCACAGCAGGCAACAGTCACCGCTCTCTTCTCAGAGAGGCAGTGAGAACTGAGCGTTCAACAATGTTTGATCACTCAGTTCCCAGCTTTAGAGCCGGTGGGGTACAGATGCAGCATCGGATCAATGTTTCATCCACCTAGGTAAGTATGATTTAAGAAAAATCCCAAACTTCTCATTTAAAGTACAGAAGGGTTAGAACCTGTTTCAGCTTTTATTGCTCCTCCTGACGCCACTGGGGAGAATTCCCTTCACTTCCTGTGTATGTGACAATATGGACACAAGGACAGAAAGTAAGGGAAATTTCCAACACACACTGTAATAAAAAAGAGCAAGAGCTAGCTAAAGAACAGGGATAGCTAAGAACCCTTTGTTAATTTTTTTTTTTCTTTTTACTGCTGACCGTCTCTCTGTGCAGATCCACAGATACCACCCAAATTGCCCACTCCGCTCCTCCCATGATATCCTCCTATCTAGCTCCCTCATCACCTCCTCCCACGCTCGCCTCCAGGACTACTCCAGAGCCTCTCCCATCCTCTGGAACTCCCTACCACAGCATGTCCAGTCAGCCCCCACCCTGTCTGCCTTTACTCACTTCTTCAGGGAAGCCTACCCCACCTCCACCTAAGAACTGTACTTGAATCACCTCCACCAGATCATCCCCCGCAGTTATAACCCTTTGTATCACCTCCCCTTCCTTTAGATTGTAAGCTCCACGAGCAGGGCCCTCCTATTCCATCTGTACTGAAATGTATTGTAATTGTACTAACTCCCTTATATTGTAAAGTGCTGCGCAAACTGTTGGTGCTGTATAAATCCTGTATAATAATAATTGTCACAGGCTTTCTATCCTAATCACATTGTGACAGTAAGATCTCTCCAAGGGAACTTCAAGCAGAATAAAATGAGGATAGTAGTTTACCTTTCCCCACAAACTCCATAATAGTGCTGCACAGCTACCATCTTTGCCCTACCCAGCTGGCTTCCAGGTGTAGGCATCAAACTCCGATGACGCACGGGACCCTCCGCGTGGCCACCTCAGCCACATCCTATGCTGATCCGTGAGTATCCCAGGAGGCTGCAGACCAAGCTGGAGTGGTGGCAGGAGGCGGGGCTAAAGATAAAAAAAAAAACAGAAATAAAAATTCCTGCAATTCTGCATGTGGGGGGAGGAATGCTAAAAATCGTAACCAACTCCCTTTTAGGAGTTTAGTTCAACTTTAAAAACACCCTGTAACTGTCTTAAAGTGGTTCCAAAGCCTAAACATTTTTTACCTTGATGCATTCCCTGCATTAAGGTTAAAAAATGTTTGGAGAACAGTATCTTCCCCTCCCCCTTCCACGTACCTCACTCAGTCCAGTGCTGTGTCCATCTGTAGTGGCTCTCCACGTTCTCACAGGCTTTGCTGAGGCAGTGAAAGGCATTCCTATGAAAAGGGAGCAGGAATCCTGTGACAAGGGAGTGGGTGGGCAGGGCTGAGCTGTGCTGTCTGTGTCTATGGACACATTTAGGATTGAGTCTGCAGGTGTGCCACCATAGGAAGAGAAGGAGCCAGGAGCCCCCTCCTTACTGGGCCTCTTTGACGAGGGAGCAGGGGCCAGGGCCGTGCCCCCTTGTCTGTGTCTATTGACGCAAGCACCGGGGCTTAGGATTGAGCCCACAAAAGAGCCCCCATGAGGACACTGCATGAAGAGGAGGAGCCGGGGCGCCAGCAGATGACCTGAGAAAAGGAGGATTAGAGCCGCTCGGTGCAATCCATTGCACAGAGCAGGTAATTATATCATGTTTGCTATATAAAAATAACTTTACAATCCCTTTAAACAAACCCATAAAAAATGTATTAACTTTCAATGTGCCCTTGAATTTCCTAGAAATCTTGGCTACTCCAGGAGAGTCAGTCGTTCTGTCCTTGTACATCATAGCCCTCTTCTTTTCTGTGCTGACCCAGCTCCTTTACTCCTCCTCTCACCTCCCTAGATAACCTGTTATGCTCCTCCTGGTGGATTAATGAATGTGAATACTATAGAGTGACAGCTCTGAGTGTGCTGATGCTGCTGAAATTTAAGATTGAATGTGAACTATGGTTGCCACCTCATCCCTTTAAAACCAAACACATATTAATTACACAGGTTCTGAGGCTAATTTAATGCAGACAAGGCTCTAAGTCTAGGTTCACACCTATGCAGGTTGCGTTTTGCATTTCTGCATTGTGTTTTGCATTGCGTTTTGCGTTTTTACACTTGCTTTTTTGCCGCGTTTTGCTTTTCTTTTTTTCATTTTTTTTATATTTTTCTTGTTGCTAGGCAATACATGTGTTTCTGCAGCATTCCCATTGAAGTCTATAGAACCAAAAACCACAACGTTTTGCATTCAAAAAAGTCCCGGACCCTTTCCAAAAAATGCATCGGGTGAAAACTCAAAGATGTTAACCTGTCCCATAGGAAATCATGTTAAAAGGACTGTAGTGCGTTTCTGCAAAACGCTGCAGAAAATGCTTACTGTAGGTGCCAACCTAGGGTTAGTGAGTTTAATTACCACCTTATTCAGCCACAGAACCTGTGTAAGTAATGTGTTCGGTTTTAAAGGGATGAGGTGGCAACCCTGATGTCAACACAAGTGAGGTTTTTCTAGTTAAATAATATTGTTAAAATCCATTAAATGCACATATAATCTTATGGGAAAATTCATGCTGAAAAAATTCTCTGGGGCAAGGTCTGTACGTATATGTACTATTGGCAGCATGATTTTATATGAAGTCTATGTAGACTTGTCTCCAGCCATGGCGTTCAGCTGCAGCAGCGATTTCTTGTTGCACGCTATGAAAGCAGAGACAAATAATTAATCATGATCACTTCCACAGTGACGCAGTTATGTGCTGGTAACTGCAGCCCTCTGCTACTGCATTGTTCATTGAGAAGATTCAGTTGTCAGCAGTCACTGGCGATTGTGTGTTTCATATACCCGATGCTGACAATATTCAGAAATTGCAGCAGGAAGAGGTTTATATTTTTGCTCAGTTAGATAACATCTTTATGCACAATGTGCAGTAGATTAAATGCCCTTACCCATACATAAAAAGATTGTGGTAAATGTGAGAGGGCTTTTACTTCACACCCCGTGTCTGTTGTCTCAGACTGATAACATTACTTATTTATATTTGGTCGCATCTGATGTGTAGCGTCTAATGGTTATGGTCTATTTTTATTATGTTTTTGCATTGCTAATGGCCAGTTGTGATTAGGAAGGTTTATTTAATGTATTAATGCATTAGTCCACCATACCCAGTCCTCATTGGGGCTCTTTCACACTTACGGCCAGGGGGGGCAGTAAATACAGGCAGCTGAGCTGCTGTTTAACAAATCCCCATCCCTTGAAATGTTAGCATCACAGCCTGACAGGGCAGTTCACATGCCATTGCCATGATGCTTTGTGGCCTCAACATTTTTAACTCGGGCTGCAGAGTTTAACATGCTGCACCTGTCAACCTCACCAATTGAGATCAATTGGTCCGCACTGCAACCATGAACCAAGCACTTGGCTTCCAATTGCAGCATGGTTCCACAATGTAAAATTTCTGTTCAGTAGTAAAAATGCCTCCTGAATGCCTGCTAGCTGCTGCCATAGCTCCCGACTGTCCCTGATTTCGAGGGACTGTCCCTGATTTAGAACAAAGTCCCTC